TCCGAAAACCTTAACATCATCTTCTGGCCACGCTTTTTCTTGGCCAAAGAAGACATTGGGTGACAGGGCTGCATGGCGGATGACCCATTCATTCCACGTTTTCTGGCTGGCCAAAAAGACGGTTGTCTGTACAGACATGTAAGGGCTTGCATTGTTATGATGCGCAATGATTCGTTAGCTCATCCCTTTTTTGAAGTATAAACATTCGGCTAACACCTTTAAAATACTGAAAATGGTGTGATACCTTTATAAGTGACCAAACGTTGACCGATATACTCCATTTGCAATACCAATGATTCACACAATCATAAAAAGAAATTCATTTCACCCTAAAAATTAAAATAATATATTGTTTTATAATTACAAATTGAAAATAATCTATATAAATATTTAGTCAGTCTGTATAATTATTTTCAGTTCAGTAACATTCGAATCAATGCCCAATACATTCATCGCGTGTTACATCTCTGTGTGGCTGATAGTGCTGACAGCATTTGCTGCCGCTAATGTCCGATTTACAAACCTAAAATGTAAATCTCTCGATATGTCATTCTCCACATTTGAAAAATGTAATTTGAAATTATTACGACGCGGAGTTGTCGGTCTTAATATCACCACAAAATTGCTACAAATTCCAGTGACGAAAGTTTCGGCAAGTATAATTTTAAAATCTTTTAACACAAATAAATATTATGGTCTTGTTTTTTAGGTTAATGTAGCATTCTTTAAAAAATCGAATGGCTATCAACCGTACGTATACAATACATCAGCAGATTTTTGCAATTTTATGAAGAATCGTGAAAAATATCCGATTTTGGATATTTTAGCCAAATATTTGCTGAAAGATACGAATATAAATCATAGCTGTCCATACGACGTGAGTGATTTGAGGGGGAAATCGTTACTTTTTTCACGAAACTACCAATATTTCGGTCTGGTCGAAAGTGATCTAGCTTTCCTTTTTTTTTCAATTAATTTTATTTATTATTATTATGTTTAATTTTTAGTTACAAATTTCCGTTTATTTTCAGCACGATATCATTGCTGAAAATCTAGTTTTGGATAAAAACCTTTTCAAATTGCTATTATATGTTTATTATATGTTTCGTCTAATGGTTGCTGCCTACAATAATTGGAAAGCTGAAATTAAATATTATTTTAGTATTTACAATTAGTCGAAAACATCAATAAAAACGAACTGTGCAACAAAATTTTGAGGAGGGACATCGAAAAATTTTGTAAACCATTGTTCTTATCCGATCCTGTCACAGAAACTTTTTATTAGAAGAATTCGCATTTATTGAACACAATTCTCAATATTTTGCAAACGGATAATAATACAACAGAACCCATTTTTTAACTGGTCTTAATAAACTATATATAATTAGAAAGCTGTTGCGCATCCCAAAACAATATTAAAATTTATTTTAATGAAAAAAGTAGCGGAACCAGGTTGTGGTGCAGACAACTTCATAAAAAAGTGATGCCAATCTCAGGGTGGTTACAGGGTTGGAGCCGACCTGAGGCAAAAATGCCACCCTGAGCTAGTTGGACATAATTGACCACAGTGCCGCATAAGGTGGATCGTAACAAAGCTAAGATTCCGGTCTTATAATATTAATGCAGAAAATTGTTTATTTTGTTCACAGTGCGCTCCAGTTTGATGTATTATATGGGGCCTACTTCGAAACATGGGCCCCATATCGGTCAGTTTAAGTAAGGGGATCCCTAAGTCCCTACTACATGGCGGACAGTCGAAGTTGGAGACTTCATATGCAAATGGTCGTTGAAGTGGATTTTGGTGCTGATGACCCTCCCATCCACGTGATAGACCATTCATCAGCACCTACCGGAGAGCATTTACCGAGATATGGACTCGATTGCCGATAAGGAATACTTTCAGATCAAGAGGAACTTAAAATTAATTGGAAAGTTCTCATGGAACTATCCAAATGACAATACGATGGACTTATGGATCGAAGGGGCTTTAGTTACCCCTCCAACTAAGGAAAAACTGTGAAGATGATGCCAGGGGCTTTTAATCAATCAGGATCTTCGAGGAGGACCCTGAAAGTTGCGAAGTCCTTAATTTGCCGTAGTCAGCTAGAATGAGAACCCATAGAAAGACTTTTGAAAGGCTGCCAGGGCGCAATCACCTTCAGAACAACAACAAAGTCCAAAAATTTAACACAACCAGTGGCTGTAAAGGGGATAAAATTCTCGAGTGAGCATCAACCATGGTGATGTTCAACCACAAAACCAGCGGCAATCATTGATTGAATCTATAGGTATCTGAAGGACCTTTTCCTCAACCACGAAGTTGAATGTCATTAACTAAGGAGTTTTTATACTTCCATAAGAAATCCATTAATAACATTGGACGCCTTTGTTAAGATACAAATCTGGCGGCAGTCGCGGTTCACGAAATGTTGTGCGGGATGGTAACATCAGTGGGAAGAATTCGGCATTGTCGTTAAGTTCGCCACGGATTCTGCCGGAAAAAACTACCTGTTCAAGAGAACAAGGGTGAGTTGCTTTACGGGTTGCCGAAATAACAACTGCGCCTTTTGAATGTAGCAGCAAGTGCTGAATGTGTATTTAGATATAAATTCCATAGCGTATACATGAAATATAATCCAGTGGATTTGTGAACATGATTAAGGTGACGTATACACTATGGAATTGAGTGGATTTAGTAGTATAAACGCGCTCTAAGCGTGGTGCAGCAGCTGCCTTGTCCTACATCGTCATTGCACTCCTTCAGGAGCCGTATCTTCATAAGTATAGGGCGACTGGTATAGATTTTTACAATTTCACACCTCATCTTAAATATTACGATCTCAAACTTTCCACATTTTTTTCTTGATTTACACCTGATCCCTCAATTCGAACATACCGAAATTAACATGGTGTTTACATAGCCTTCTTCCATCACATTACCGACTAAATTAACCTTTTACTTTGAAGTCAAATTGATATTTAATAGCAGTATAATTTAAAATTAAATATTCGAATAGATGGAATAGTTTACTAAGACTGCTTTTCCACAGGCAAATTTTTATTTGGCAAATACTGAGTTTGTTGGCGAGAGGGGTGCGAGGAAGAAAAACAAAAATTTGCCTGTTCAGAATTTGCCGTACACGCAAATTCTGCTTTGCTCTGTTCGTTGAAAACAATTTTGTTGACATTTCCTTTTGAACCTATTCGCTTTACTGACACACAGCCGGCTTTTGTTTACAAACCTGTTGCTTTAATTTGTGAAAGTGAAATTTAATTTTTAATTTTTGCAATTTATATAATAAAATATATAAAAAATAAATAAAATATTAAAAAAAAATCTTTAAAATGCAAACACTTTTGACTTTTATTTTCTTTCTTTTATATTTTGATTCGCAAATTTGGCAAAGAAAAATTTGCTAATGGAAAAGCAAGCGAAAATTTCAAAAGAGAAAACAAAAAATTTGCCAAATAAAAATCTGCCTGTGGAAAAGCAGACTAACTAAAAATACGAAAAATTAATGAAAGGTTATGATTTATTTCTCAAAATACAGTGTGGAATATCATGCATTTTTTTGGTTTTTTTTTTTTTTTTTTGCTATATCTAAATATTTTGAAGTTCCCTGCTATTAAAACTAATAAATACAAGTTGTAACATCCATGGTTAAATCTTGAGAGCAATGTCCACTTAACAAAATAAGTTTAGTTTAATTCATTGAAAATATGCCAATCGACATACATAAAAATTAAGGAATTTTTTTTTTTTCATATTATTTCCAAATTTTAAAGGGGTTTCCATGATACAATTCTCAAATGAGACTACATTCTGTAATTATGCCATGAATATTATTGTAAAAATGTGTAAATTCTTGCGGGTTCTGGATCAGATGTATGGTCTGTTCCCATATAACAAGAATCTATTACTTTTTACTACAATAAAAAATGTTCCTTCATGTTATCGGACAAAATAGTAAAGTAGTAGATTCTTGCAATACAGGAACTGACCAATAATATACAAACTGAATGTTCGCGTTGAGCCATCCGTCGCGTTATATGTTATCGAAAATACAACTACCACAAGGAAACGATATGCGTTTGTGTTATCCTTTCCTTGTGATTGTTGTATTTTCGATGACAAATAACGCGACGGATTGCTCAACGCGAGCATTCTGCTTAAAGCGAATTTACATATAACATTTAATCATGATTAAAGGCTGAATCAGGGTTTATTTTCTTAATCAGGCTAAATTTACCATGATTTACATCTAATTTACATATAACATCTAATCATGATTAAAGGCTGAATCAGGGTTTATTTTCTTAATCAGTCTGAATTTACCATGATTTATCATACAAATTTAAATCATCAAGGAGCAGGATTTATTTTAAATCATGATCGAAATCATGATACTACTGAGATGCAACGCAGGTTTTGTACGAAGAAATACAACTCTCTCACAATGTACCAAAATTAGCAACTGTTTTTACATGCCGTTTGTTTTTAAATTTAACGGCTGACAAATACAAAAATGACAGATCAAAGGAAAATAAAAATTAATTATAGAATTTTTGTGTTTTTAGGTGTTTTTTTTTTTTACTTTCCAAACGATCACAGTATTGCAAAAACATTTCCATTGTGGTAATTCTTCTATTCTTTTTCAAATTGCAAACAAATATTTTTGCCGCAAATTAATAATTTTGTATGTATACTAACAAACATCAGCTGATCGGCATTTAGATCATGATTAAGGGTATGTGTAAACAATTAGGGTGTATTTCTGGATTTCGTTAATCGAGTCGATTTAAAATCGTATATGTAAATGTACTTTTAGCCCTTAATTTGTTTGGTCCCCCCTAGTTTGTTATAACCGTACTTTTCTGTACCATTGTGTGTACACCGCTTTAAAATTCAATAATCACATTGCAATTAAAAAATCGATTAATCGATTTATTAACAATGAAACGATTAATCGATACGCTATAAATCGACCTGGCTATACCTATTTGCCACTTTCCTTCTTTCTTTGTTGAATCGTCAAACCGAATGTACGTAAAAATTTTTAACAAAATTTAACGTGAAAAAATATTAATATAAAAACAAATTTTCCAATTAATAGATATAAAACATTAAAGTGTTTGAAGTGCTTTACATTTTGTGTTGAATACCTATTGGAAATTACTAAAGATGTCGAAGATATTTGTGGATTCAAATGTTAACCTCAATTTTTGTTTAATGTTTACAGTATTCGGCTTGAGTTGATAGCAGCATGGTGAACGGACGTATCCCTTCGGTCTTTTCGAAGACCTATGTCACTCCTCGCCGTCCTTATGAAAAGGCCCGCTTGGACCAGGAATTGAAGATCATTGGTGAATATGGTCTCCGCAACAAGCGTGAGGTCTGGCGTGTCAAGTATGCCTTGGCTAAAATCCGTAAGGCTGCTCGTGAATTGTTGACTTTGGAAGAGAAAGACGAAAAGAGATTGTTCCAAGGTAAGGAGAACCAAGATGCCTTCGCCATAATGTTTGAGATTGCTTGGCAATGATGATTTTGTATTTAATAATTTATCTGACACTTCTTGTCTGAATCAAAACTTATTGACGATATTAACACGCTGACACATTTTATATATCCATAACTACATTATACCATGGAACAACTTTTATTAAATGTGTTTCTTTTTTTTCAATTTTAGGTAACGCTTTGTTGCGTCGTTTGGTTCGTATCGGTGTGTTGGATGAATCCCGCATGAAGCTCGATTACGTTTTGGGCTTGAAAATCGAAGATTTCTTGGAACGTCGTCTCCAAACCCAAGTCTTCAAATTGGGATTGGCCAAATCTATCCATCATGCCCGTGTCTTGATCCGTCAACGTCACATTCGGTAAATATTCTTGATTCTGACTGAAAAATGATGGACAGAAAAAGTGTTTGCAGCCTTTTTTATGGACAGCTTAATACTTTTCATTGATGCCCATGTGTGTTATTTCATAAATTACTTGCAAAAAAGTGTTCAGTAAGACCACTTGGGAGTCGAACAATTTACCCTGAGTTTGGAGGTATGGGGTATTTTGTACCGGCTCTCAACGTCTTTTGGTATTGGTTTCCGAATGGCCCCACTGTGTGTATTATGCAAGGGGTACAGGAACCAATTGAGTTTAGGTCCAGCCTAAACACTCAGCCGAGTAAGTTGAGAAAACAAAACTCAAAACGAACGAAATACAACAAACTGAACCAGAAAAAGAAGCTCTTAAAGAACCTCCTTTTCCATAGGAAATTTCTGTAAAATAAATGTTACTAATAAATTTATTTTCTATTTACAGCGTCCGCAAACAGGTGGTCAACATTCCCTCATTTGTGGTCCGTTTGGATTCCCAAAAACACATTGACTTCTCCTTGAAGTCGCCCTTCGGTGGCGGCCGCCCTGGCCGCGTGAAGAGGAAGAACATGAAGAAGAACCAAGGTGGTTCTGGTGGTGCCGAAGAAGAAGAAGATTAAACTACTGGAAATGTAAAATCATCTTCAACTTTTTGCTTAAGGACCTAAAACAAAGTTTATTTGTTTGCTTGTTTTTTTACGTGATGATTAGAAAAAGCAAATAAATAATATTTTAAATTGTAAAACACTGGATTTTTTCATACTATGAAGGGGAGAATAATCAAGCTATACCTTTTTTTTTAATTTACTAAACTGTATAAAGGGAACATTTAAAAACCGTTGCTATATTGAGAGCGCATCAAATAGGAAATATTTCAATGTTGTGTAATGACATTTTTTAAATTGAGCATATTGCAATTTTTCCATGGGGGTCCAAGTGACGAATTTGGGAATAAATCTTGTTTAGAGCCCAGTGGTGCATCGTTTATAAATTTTTACCATAAGTTGTTCTTGAAGCCCCGATTATAACGATATAATTTTTTTCTTGCGGAAATCCATATTTAACGATTATGGTCCCAAATTCCCTTTGGGATACTTTTGTTTCCCCTGCTTATAAATATTTACTAGGTCATTATGGTTATCAATTTAGACAAGTTTAATACTTTTAATTAGAATATTATTGGTCTTGCTATAGATATTCCAATTCCGGCTATGCGAAAGAATCTTCTCTTAATAAACATTGTGCCATAATAAATTTAGTTATAAATAAATCCCCTTTAAAATGATAATAACATGAAAAGTACTTACGGAATTTTGAAGAGACCCATATCTCTGGAAGTATGGACTTTTTTTTAATAAGAAAATTACATTTTAGCAATCCGTACTTCGCTCCTTTAGAGTATTTTAAAAGGATCCCTACGGAATTTTCGATTCCCATATCTCAAGAAATGTGGACTTCTTCGATATGAAAATTACATTTTGATAATCCGAACTTCAAGCGCTTTGCACTGATAGCCATATTAGTAAAGTAGTGTACATAAAAAGGCGTGAGAAAATACAAAGTTCCCAGTGGAAAGTTGGAGGCCCATATCTCCGAAAATACGGAATTTCGAGCGAAAAGTAGGATAAAAGTAAGGACTACATATGATTACAATTTCATACGAACCGCGACCGGAACACCTTTTTTAGGTCCTTTTCAAAACATTTTAAACTGCAAATCGAAAATTTAAATTGTAATAGCAAGTATAGGGGCTCATCTTGGATTATCACAGGTAGGTATTGCCCTCCTGAGCAAGAAAATATAGGACATTTATTGGGAAAATTTATACTTTGCGAGATATGGGGGTCTGAGTTGATAACACTAAAAGGATATAAACTTTTCAAATTTATAAAGGAAAATCCTAGCTGGTTCTGGAACAGATAATTTGTAATTTATGGACCAAGTTCCTTTTTATTAAAATAAATGAATTAAATAAAAAAAATAAAATCTACCTTCGGGAACAACAGTTTATTTTAAATTAACATTATTTATTTTCGTGGTATACATTGTACCGAATTTATTAAATCCAGTAGATCTAAAATGTCAAATCATTAAATATATATCAGATAAATCCTCATAGAAGAGATTAACCCGGCCAAGAAGTTCTTATGTAAATGCCATTTAACTGTAGTAAAAATTTCGTTTTAATACTAAAGTTAAACGACATTTACATTAGAACTTTTTGCTGAGTTAGCCTACTTTACTTTACTTTGGTATTTATTTTCAAACGATTTGAAATTGATAGATGATTTCCAAATTAAAAAGGGTCCCCATTATCAAAACCGTGTAAAAACAGACTTAGGTGTATAGTCCATGGCACAATAAATAGGAAGTCTATTTAGCGCAGCTGACAATTTGATTAACTGTCAATGTGCGTAAGTTATACTTGAATTCAATGTGCAATGTTGCTAACGATGAGAAATATCATGGTATAGTCCATGATGGAATAATAGGTTCGTTTACTCAAAATTTGTACAAAATTTTAAAAAATGTTGTTCGTTTTCCCAAAAATCCAGTAAAGGAGAGTGAATTGAGAGAGCAGATTTGACAGTTGTGTTACTGAGTATTTGCAAATTCTTACAAGGAAAAAAATACTCAGTAAAAATGTTCTTGTACCACAGATTTTATTTAGTCAGCTGTTATGTTTTGTAAACAAACAACAAAATTGTTCTCAAGCAAATTTATTGTTTTGTGAATTTTATATGGGTTTTGTATCATTAAACAATAAAATGGATGAAGAAAAACCGAGTATCCAATTTTCTAATAAAAATCTGTTGTTTTGTTTGCGACAAATTGTTTGTTATATTAATCAGCTGTGTTCGGCCCAAGGTCCATTTAACATGTCTGATGTAAACGATGCATAAGCTTTTTCGTCATACGAATTCAACCCTTAGCGTGGTTTTATATTTGTCGGGATCGGTATCGGTGTTGAGAGTTTCTCTCTCTCTCAGTGGTAAATTGTGAATTGTGTTGGAAAACATTACCACAGGTAGGAACAAAAAAGTACGAAAAGGTACCTGAAATTCTACTTCAAATGATAATAAATCATAATTATCGATAAATATTGGCCAATATTTATACCAGTTATTTGCATAAATAATATATGTTATAATTTAAGCGTAAATGTATTCAAGAATAATAAAAAATCTAATTTTTGTTTTGGTACGTTTATGTCAATTCGTACCTTTTGTGAACAAAAAGTACGCTTGTTACAAAATTAAAAATAGCGCAACTCTAATTACTCTCTCAAGAGGGAGAAACTCTCAACACCGATACCGATCCCGACAAATATAAAACCACGCTTATCAAAACAATATAATTATTTATGTCATATCTCGACAACATGGCAACCCTAAACAAAACCTTGAACTTCTCACTTGCATTCTCTTTGGTATCGGGTTTCGGTTTGGTGGCTTCGACGCTGCATTTCTTGTTTCGGCTTCAAAAGAAATTCGTAATAAAATTGGATTTTCAACAAAATTAATTATTGAAAATTTGAATTCAATCAAAATGCCAAAAGGGCCGAAAGTCAACGTGAAGGACAAAGTGGACGATAATGTCTGCGATTTGAGTTTGTGTGAATTGAAAGAAGTTCCGGTAAAAGAAATTGTAAGTGTAAATATGGAAGGCACTCCTGTTTCCCGGAGGATATGAAGAACAGGCGAAAGTGAAAGTGCATGAATAAAGTGGAAACATATAACTGGAATTTGGAAAACATCAAGAAAAATGAATTTGGAAGTTGAAAATGTTGATAGTATTTGAAAAAAACACACCCTTGTTTATTTGTGCGGGTTTATTGAAAAGTGCCAAATGCAAATACTAAGTGAAATACAGCTTTCTTTAGGCCTGCCGCTAGCAAACGATTTGTTATGTATCCATTATCCCTGTATATAAATTGGGAGTATATCTCCCCAACACCTTTCAACCACTCGTCTAACACTTTCGCTGACTGTTTGTGGTTGGTTTCCTTTACTTTCGGTTTTTGTTGTTGTTGCTGTTGTGGGTCATCAACATCTGTGCATATTGAAAATACCAGGGTTTGAGGTCCGGTTTGCCCTCAATAATCGTTGCAAAAAGAAATGCACTTTCTCTCTCTTGCTTGTTGACTTTTCTTTCCCTTTCATGAAATTGGTTCGGCAATTGTTTGTCGTTGAACGAATTTCATTTCAAAGAGAATCAAAGAGATAATTTTGAGATTTGTTTGTTTACATTTTGTTCCATGGCCCAGAGTTGCAATTTGTGTATAATTTTGAACGAGGGTGGAAAGGAATTTAGTTAATGATATTAGAATTCTATGAAAATTGAATTGGTTGGCCGTGAAAATTAATCATTGTTGAAATAGGTGCCGTTCAAGTATTACATAAGCAGTTTTATTCCCCCTCCCCCTTGTTATGCATAGCTCTCAACCAAAAATAAGCAAACGCCATCAAAAATAAGCAAAGTGATGAGACCCCATCCCTTATAGTGCCTACGAAATACTTGAACGGACCTTATTAATGGAGGATATCCGTCACATATATTTTGTCAAGCAGAATAAAATTTTTTCTTCAGAAGCGATATCGCCTGGCAGAAGGAAGGCGATATCGCCTTCCTGTAAAATATCAAGTTTGCATTTAAATACAGGAATATATTTAAAAATTTACTGGAGATGTCTTTTGTGATCATCTCAATACTAGTAATAATGCAATCTCTAGCTTTGAATAGTTCTAATATAATATGTCAGAGGAATGGAATGGAAGGGTCTGCTGAAGATGTGGGCAAATTGCCAGGAAACATGATGTATATTCGTGTCGAGATGCAATTCGCGATTAATTGGATTTTGTTCGATAAGACTAAATACGAGTATGTGATTACAGATTAACTCAAGTTGTGATAATGACGGTTAGTTTTGATACAGGACCGAAAGATGTTTTATTAAACGACACACTATAAACAAGAGTAAACATAAGATTAGATATTGGCTGATTCTGAAATAGGAGATCAAAAGCCTTTAGAATTTTATAGACCTATGCTGTTATTGGCAGGTTCATATGTTAGCCAGGATATATTAACCCTTTCAGTGTTTTTGTCGAATATATTCGACATTTAAAAGTACTCTCTTTCTTTGCGATTTTTCAGTTATCCTCTGTACCGTTACTATTTATGTTTTTGTTTTTGCTGAAAGACAGACGAAACTGGCCGAGGGTTAAAATGACAAATGCTATTTTTTCTAAACTATGCCCCTATATATGATTTTAAATACAAAATTTTAGATTTTTATTCCGACAAATTTTTTTACACTGAAAGGGTTAAAAAGATTATAAATACGAAAATGGACGAAAAATATAGGTACCTTATACCATACATATATGACTTAAATAAGAACATGAAGGGGAAACGGGTATTTTCGAAGGCGGTTTACTGCGGGACTATTATCTGCGAGATTATTCATAGGTTAGCCAGGATATATTAAAGAGATTATGGATAGGAAAGTGGGCGTAAAATATAAGTACCTTATACCATACATATATGACTTAAATAAGAACATGAGCGGTTTACTGCGGGATTATTATCAGATTCCATTCATTCTATAGATTCTTTCGAGGTAAATTTTGACCAGTTTTTGACACATATTGTCGGTATCTAAGCCATAAACATGACGTATGTTCTTTTTTAAGAGTTAATAAAATAAATAATAAAAACTGCCCCATAAAAAGTCTAATGGTC